TTATGCGGCACTCCCAACTACATAGCTCCCGAGGTGCTGAGCAAGAAGGGACACAGTTTTGAGGTGGATGTGTGGTCCATTGGGTGCATCATGTAAGTTGGAAATGGACGCAGGGGCTATTGGGTCTCTCGGGGCTTTCTGAGGCATTTTGCCCAGTTGACCTTACCCCCTGGATCCTTCTTCCTTATACAAAGGCTGTTTCAGAGAGCAGGCTGCCCACATGAAGCCCTGTTTCCTTATCTGGTGTAGGCTGTAGGATTTCTCTAGCTTGGACTTACCCCAGGGAAGGGACAAGAAAGTCTCCATACTTCTTTCTCCAGCTCTATGCATACACCCAAACCTTCAACACCTGAGGGCTTATTAGGAATGTGGAATCTCAGTTCTGAACCTGGGTTTAATTTAATCTCTGGCTGACTTTCAATAAAGCTTTAGAAGCACTAATGAGAGAATTAGGTCAGCAGAAAGGCTGCTGGGTAGGCAGAAGTCCCATCATGGTGGCCTCTGGAGTCCTTGGAGTCCTCTGTTAGTGCAGGCCAGAGCTGGGGGACCCCTGACCTCTAAGTATCCGAGTGTTGTCAGCTGCATTCTTCTGAGAGCTTGTCCTAGCCATTGGTTGCTATGGCACTGCCAGACTTGGAGATCATCCCATCCATTCCTAATTGGGGGATGCATTTGGACTTTCCTGGGAGTTTAAGCAAAATCCTTCCTTGTACCTCCAGGTATACCTTGCTAGTGGGCAAGCCACCTTTTGAGACTTCATGCCTAAAAGAGACCTACCTCCGGATCAAGAAAAATGAATACAGTATCCCCAAGGTGAAGACACCATAATGTTTTAATTTTATCTTTCACCCAAAAGCTGTTCACTGAGCCCATCCTCCTATATCCTAGGGGCAGAGATGAGTCAGCCCTGCCCTGCCTCTAGTATAGCTATGGAGAATATATGTCTGAAGGCTGGCCTTTCTCACTGCATGTTGAGTTTGAGCGTCAGATTCTCCTGCTTCTTCCTCCCAAGTGTTGAGATTATAGGCATGTGCCACCATGCTGGCTTTATGGTAGAATGGGAGCTGAACTTGGCTTTGTGCTTATGGGCAAGCACTCTTATCAACTGAGTCCAGTGCCCAACTTCCTGAATGGATGTAAGACGCAGGGGGGAAAGGAGGGAGTAGGAGCAGACCAGCTTAAACATAGGACACGGACCATCTCTGCCCAGCTGAGCTGTGTTTAGCAGGTGATGGCTTGACTCTTGTGAACCAGGCTTCCTATCTGCAAAGGGGGAGTTTCCCCAAGGGCTTCCTATGACAAAGTGACATCTATTTTCACAACTGGTGGCATAAATATGTTTGAAGGGATAACCCATTTCTGGGGACTAGGTCCACACGGGACATATGGCCACTTTCTAGTCGGTGTCCTTGACTTGTATATGAGTAGCTAGGCCACAGAAGGTCGGCTCACTGCAGGCAGCATGGACTGGCTTGAGCCAGCTGGACTGCTATGGTTTAAGTCCTGGCTTTATCAGCTAGGCTGTGGGTATTCTCAGACAGGGGCACTCAGTCCTCTGAGCCTGTTTCTTCATCTATAGGTGAAGCCTAGTAGTGGAGTAGTCTTACTATTTGTAAGGCTGAGGCAGAGGGATCACAAGTTCCAGGTTAGCCTCGGCTACACAGTGACATCCCGTCTCAATTCAAATTATACAGAGGGAGGGGGAAGAGAGAGTCCTTAGGTGTTTTTGTGAGGGCCAAATGAACTAATGCACAGGAATATATTCCTGGTATATAAGAAGCACAGAGTTACTGCTCTGACTGACGGGCCTGTGCTAGGCTTTAGCCCACAAACCTGGTATCCCACCTGGTGGTGTCCCAGGTATGGTGCCCCTCTTCCATTCTATAGACAATGCATTGGTAGGCCCAGAAAGTCCAGGCTATTTGTCATAGCTGAAATCAAGGGGGTGGAACTAGGATTTCATCACAGGTCTGGGAACCTAGAGGCCTATGCTGTCAGGTGCCCCTCTGGTGCCTTTGCAAAGGCAAGGTGGGGAAATGATCGCAAGTTAATACTGAGTGCCAACTGGCAGGAAATGGTCCTTCTCACCAGTAGGGTGACGTTGGTTCTTGCTAAAGTTGAGGGCAGAGGACCTGGTGGAACTCCTGGCCACTGAGCTATGGTATATTTGAGACAGGAGTAGCCACGTGCCAGGTGGGGTCCCCATCTCATCTCACTTAGGCTCTGCCTCTCCACTCCAGCACATCAATCCTGTGGCCACCGCCCTCATCCAGAAGATGCTTCAGACAGACCCCAGTGCTC